GCTCTCTCCCGTCCTTTGTCCTCCATGGCTTGATGTAAAGGAATGAGCAGCAAAGTAGCAGCTAAGACATTCAACGGGGAGGGAGTCCGCCTTCAAAACAGACTGAAAATGGTGCCATAGGAATGCCAGGCCAGTCACCTCGACCCCCCCACCCCTTGCCAAATTTGCATTTGTGTTGGTCCTTTACATACACGACTCACAAAATGTGACCTTCTCTAAAGCTTTTGAATGCACACGACCAACTGTTTAAACGTTTCAGTACTTTTTGAACAAGTTGCCGCTCTCTATCGAGGAGCTTAACGGCAAAATTCACAATGACCTCAAATCGACCAAAAAATGTCAATTGCGATGCTTCAAACAGGACGTTCTGAGACGGAAGTGGCCACTGAGCTTAGAGCGGCACAGATTGTCATCAGCAGGGTGTAACATTGTCATCAGCAGGTTGTAACAGGGATACTGAGAGACCGGAAGAGTCACAGAAAGATGTCGAAGTGGATGTCCTTTGGCCACATCCCACGCCGATGACTGCTACGTTGTGAATAATGCCCCGAGAAACCGGATGATGAATGCCACTCAACTCCAGTCACGTTTAAAAGAGGTGAGAGGCGCTCAAAGGTCACGTCAGACCATTCGAAACCGTTGAGATCAGCTGAGTCGCCGTGTCGAGGCTCGAAACTCTTCGCCCCAGAACCTCAATGACCTGAGGGCTGTCTCAGCAGACAAAAAGTCGACTCGTGAACAGCATGAGACGGCGTCGTCAAGCCGTAATTGATCCTCAAGGGCACATGACGAGTTATTGACACGTCGAAATGTTTTGTTGTGGTGTACCGGCCATTGTTGTTAACTTTTGTTTCAATGAATTGTTTGAGATAAGGAAATCCGTCCGACTTCAATGTCCTACTTTCATGATATGATATGACTGTAGCGTGAACTTTTTACATTTACCATAAATTTCACATGAAAGCGAAAAATCTTAACACTTTTTGTGAGTCGTGTGTTTTCAAAAGTGTTTGGAATCTGAAGGAAAAAGGTGGCCATTTTTTGCTAATGTCAGCATTATCTGGGGTTTTTTTTTGGGGGGTTGTTTTGTTGTTTTTTTTTTAACAGCAATAACAATGCAGAGTTCACTGCGTATCCATATGTTTGTACGACACGTTTGAACTGGCTAACGTTCTTTTGGTCGGTTCACGTGGATTTTTTTTTTTCTTCCCCTGAGTACTTGCGCTTGCACTTATTTTTCTTTACAACACCAAGTCGTATTACTTGCATACATCAAATTCAAAACAAAACTTTGCGTATTCCAAAGATTTGGGGGGCTCGAAAGCAAGAGGAAGAGCAAACATTGCACTTTGTCATCTATTTTGTCCATTTTTAGGACAAAAATACGCAATTCATTGACGCTTGATGTAGTCAAAATATTGCAGTACCGCGCAGGCATCCACCTCTAAAACTTTCCTTGTCCTTGTCCTATTTGGGGGAACATTTGGACATATTGCACGTATTCCGCACGTCGGTGAGCCTTGGCTATGCACATAACCGAGGCTGGCCAATGTGTGACTGTTCCATTTGCCATTCATTGTGATGGCTCCAGCCGCCACTACCTGCCGATTACGGTGCGCGCACACGCACAAGCACACGTGCGCACACACACACACACACACACACACACACACACACACACACACACACACACACACACACACACACACACACACACTCTCAGCCTTTTATCAGTGCCACTCTCAATTTTAAACACCTCGTCTGTACGTTAAGCATGGCGATGCACACGCGAGTCCAGTCGCTCATCTCCCAGGAGGACCGTTGCAGCGCTGGAGGAGGAG